GGTCATAGTCACGGCAATTCGGTGATGTTTTCGGCACCAAATCGCATATTTCCCGATAAAATATGGCAGATGGAAGTAAATAACGTCTACAAAGGTGATATTTCACAGTAATAAAGAAGTATTTGGTTCATAATTGGGTCGTATGGGGTAGTATTGGGTAGTATTGGGTGGTATTGGGTAATTAGACGCACCCTGATTTTCATGACCGCCCGCGTGAATTGTAAACGTTACAATGTCCTAGATTATTTTGTTCGGGATGTTTCGGACTTTATAAAAAAAGCCGAAAACGCGATCTCTTGTCGGTGACTTTTTGGATCGGTCACATTCAGTAAAGCCCTAAAACAACGTTTACCGTTCAGACAATTAAAGGAAACATGCCTAGCGTGTATGGCGTCGACCATCGAACATTGGCTGTAGGGACGATAGCCCTAACAACAGGTGTCGCAGCGTTCTCAACTTATAAATGGCTGTCGGAGAGAAGAAGGCGTGCCGCCGACAACGTGTACGAATCAGAAAAACTATTAAACGAATATTTGGTGTTCCACTACGGATCCCAGAAGGAAGTGTTGCGTTATGACTTTGGTCCAGTTGACGCTCTTGACTTCCCCATACGATGTGCGGATGTCTGTATTAAACACACGAATGGATTGGAGGTAAACATGCAGTTGCTTTAGGCCAAGGCCAAAGGGGTAGGCCATGCATGGCATGGGACTCTCGTTACGTCACTGACCACGAGGTTGCATTGCTACACCCCAGTCAGCCAGCTTCGAACGCTCGGAGGGTAAGGTATTGTGATGAACTTGGCAAAAGTGGCCATCTCAATTTCTTACTCTTTTAAGTGTCCACCTGGGTATGAACTGCGGTCACGTTACAGAAATACACCACTTTGTTAACAATTTATTTTCCTAATGCTATAAATACATACATACAGAGACGTATAACGTCTCTGATATACAGCAATCTATAAGAATATACCAGAGCAGGAAAAATGCACGACCAGGCCGACATTCGAACCTCAACCCACTAGATGGACGCTCTACCAACCGAGCCCCTCCTATAATGCTGGCAAATGACCCTGTCCAATTCTGCTACATCGGTGATGATCCTTTTCCATTTTTAGGTCATTAATGCGAAAGACAACACCAGTATTCAGGTTTGGAGCCTCTAAATTCTAGACAGATGCTCTTAAACCAATTGAGCTACCATGTTCCTGACAATCAAATTGGTTCAGTTCAGCTATCTTTATCCACCCTGTTTCTAAGTTTTCACCCCTGAAGTGACAACACTATTTACAAATCAGGTTTGGATACCCCCTTGCTAAGCATTCACCCAGTACTTGAAATACGGGTTGGTCAAAGGCACCACTGCACAGCCAGACGGAGATTTAAACCTTGGACCTACTACTCTAGACGAACATATATTCTAGACACCTTGCAAATTGCTGGCAATCACCCTAGTCCAGTTCTGCTTCAGAAAAAATAAATTATGACATGTACCTGTGAACAACAGTTTGTGTACTATTGGACCACAGTAAAATGAGTCGCTTTTATATCTGTTATATGACATTATGCAGCCAAGGCTAGAAACCTTCCGTCTGGGGCCACATTGGCCATATGGTTAAGGCATCAGACCGTCTATGATCACAAGCCCTCCATCAATGGAGTCTAGTCTAGTTCAAGGCCTAGGTGGGGTACTGGCTGCAAGTTTGTGGTTTTTCTCCGAGAACTCTCCCAACACCAAAAACTTGGCTCATCATTTAAGGCACAAGTATTTTCTTTTTTGGTCAAATGACCATTGCTGTTTATAGGATGTTAAGCACAAACAAACCAAATTAAACCCATTCTACCATTACTGGTGTTGTCTACCATTACTGGTGTTGTCTACCATTACTGGTGTTGTCTATCATTACTGGTGTTGTCTATCATTACTGGTGTTGTCCACCATTACTGGTGTTGTCTATCATTACTGGTGTTGTCTTATCATTACTGGTGTTGTCTACCATTACTGGTGTTGTCTATCATTACTGGTGTTGCATGTCTACCATTACTGGTGTTGTCCACCATTACTGGTGTTGTCCACCATTACTGGTGTTGTCTACCAATACTGGTGTTGTCCACCATTACTGGTGTTGTCTACCATTACTGGTGTTGTCTATCATTACTGGTGTTGTCTACTATTACTGGTGTTGATCGAGGGCATGCATAGGGCATTTTCACTGGGATTATTAATTGTTTTTGTCAAATCATTATATAGCATTTCTCGGACAATGTAACATTTTGAGTCGTAATTAGTGCTATTCTATTTTTAGTCCAGGATCCCTTCTAGAGCATTAGATATTGGGTGTGCTGTGGGCAGATCAAGCTTTGAGCTGGCCAGGAAGTTTCAGGAAGTGATTGGAATAGACTACAGCCAGTCATTTGTGGATGCCTGTATCTACATGAAGGATCTCAAGGAAAGAGTTTACTTTGTTCAAGATGAAGGACAGCTTTCCACACCTCATATGGCTAAAGTAGCCGATGATATTGTGAGTACATTTATATATATATATTATACAAAGAGGCTAAAGTAGCCGATGATATTGTGAGCGCATTTATATATATATTATACAAAGAGGCTAAAGTAGCTGATGATATTGTGAGCACATTTATATATATATATTATACAAAGAGGCTAAAGTAGCTGATGATATTGTGACCATAATATATATATTTATATACAATGTATATATATATAGAAAAATTAGATTTAACGACCAACTAAAAAACTAGCTGCTTTCACCCTCCACAGGGCTCTTCAGGGGTATTTCAAAAGAACAACTTCAAATATATATATAATAATCAGAAAAACATTCAAAGTCCTTGTGATGGTTAAATATATAAAAAAAATAAAGACAAGGAAGTCGAAGAACTCTTGTCTTTTGTTGTTTGTTATATATATATATTATACAACAGAGGCTAAGTATGTTGTTTTAAATTCTTGATTAATCCTGAGCATGGTAACAGATCAGATCAGTTCTCAGATTGTGAGTGTAATTTCTCATTATTTTGTGATGTCGGAGATAAGACATTTATTTGCCAAACAGACCACTGCTTCTTTGTATTATTCAAAGCAATCTATATTCTATTTTTCTTCACTTATATATATAAGATGAGAAAAATAGAAAAAAAGTATAAATAAATATTTGTCAATGGTTCAAACAATCTGTTCGTTGATCGCCTGAAGAATAAATGAAATCACAAGTTTTAATAGCTTAATCAACTGAGAAAAATTGTCCGATAGCTATGATACAGTGAAGTAAGTATTATATTCCCTTTATTAGGACCGATCCAGGACCAGCTTCCAGCAGGGCGATGCCTGTAACCTTCCAACTGACCTTGGCCAGTTTGGATGTGTGCTTGCTGCCAACTTGATATGTCGTCTTCATCAACCTTTCAACTTCCTGCGTAGACTGAAGGAGCTGGTGGCACCTGGAGGAATCTTAGTTATTACTTCCCCTTATAGCTGGTTGCAGGAGTTTACGGACAAGGTATAAACAAACAGCATTTTTATGCAACTGCAGGGAACTGTAGCTCTAGCTCGTTTATTTTGAAATTTCACATCATCAGACCCTATGGTCTGGAAATGTAAAGGTTCAAAATAAAATATCTAAAATTTCAAAATAAAATAATTAAAATTTCAAAATATAATATCTAAAATTTCAAAATTAAATTAAAATTGATCAGACCTAGAGCTACGGTTCCTGCGACTATACCAACAGCTAAATGTTTAAATAATTTGTTAATTAAGACTGTAACAGCTTTAGAATGGCTTAAAAAGTAACAAAAAAACGTAATTTAATGTTGAATTGCAAACTTGTATGAAACTGGGTTTAAAAAAGGTGAACAATATTGATAGTTATAAGTGGGGTAGCTAATGAATTGATGGTACATGTACCATGGAAGATGCATATATTGTATAAGAAACAAGTCGTTTCAGAATACAAAGCTTCTATTTGGTAGATTTTACGAGAAATAGGATTACAACTTAAATCAGATATGACAGTATGTCAGAATACTGATAAGGTCAGATTACACAGGTTTAATTTATCACATTCCTTTATACTTATAAATGTTTTGCTACAGAGTCTGTGGTTGGGTGGCTATAAGGACAAAGATGATAATCCAGTCACAGGATTCGAGACCCTCAAAAAAGAACTTGGACCCAACTTTGACCTGGTGGAGGCCATGAACATGCCGTTCTTTATTAGGGAAACTGCTCGCAAAAACCAATGGACTGTGGCTCATTGTACGGTTTGGACGAGGAAAGCGAACTAGTCAGTCAATCTCGTAATAATCAAATATGACAGAAAGAAATGATGTCTGTTGACGCTGATGTTACAACCTTTTAGATGTAAATTTCCAAACGGCCAATCCCAACATATCATTATCCCACATGTGGTTTAGTCATGAAGATGATGCAATATATTTTGTTACTTATAAGTCCCTCCAATGATGATATATATGATCGTAATTAAGAAATGTTGTATGCACATAGGATTTTCCAATAATTTAATATGACGGTGTTATTTTGATTGTGGTAGCAATTTTGTTTTTGCAACAAATGCACCAAATTATAACACTAACTTTGAGCGTCCTTAAAAACTTATTCCTGCTGGTTTCGGGTATTTTAAAGCCTGTTGAGTAAAAACATGCTTTTCTTGGCAGTTTTTAATTAGACATGCTAAATTAACTTAGTGTAAAACTGAGAAAAACTATTATGGCACTAATCTTTTGAATTTTAATGATAACAGTTTGTATATTTCAAAACATATGCACGGTAGTGGAATTTTGGCAAAGATCTACGGAACATGAGTTATACATTTTAGATGGTTGTATTGGCACTGATCTCAAGATATAGGAGAGTTATACTGTAGTGTTTATAATCAGAAAAAATCATTATTGTGTGCAAAATGAAAGAGAAAGCTTATTGTAGCTCACCGGGTTTAGGGTAACGTTTTGAACTGCTACGGTCTCTCCTTACCCATTCACCCCTAAAGTCCCATGTGAACATTAGCAAATCAAAGATTGGGTGAGTCCAGTTTAGATGTCTGGGGGTGAAGGAGGTAAGCATGTATCCCAAACACTTCCTGTTTGGCATGTACTGTATCTATTTGTGGCCAAGGGGTGATATAATGACAATTGAATATTGTTATTACATGTGTTTGTAATTTATCAAAACTCTCTTTGAAGTTTTTTGGGTTATTTTTTTTAAATATTTATCTCCACAATAATATGAAAACCCCAGAACTCTCCTGTGGCATGTATAAAAATGTACATCCAGGTGGGTCTAGGTGTGATTTGGCCATTAAATGTTGAATTTTGTAGGTTTTCTTTTTAAAAGTTTACTATGTTTCGGACTAAATTTACTTTAAAATAAAACTTAAAACTTACTAAAAAAAACATTGCAGGATGAAATGATTTTTAACTCCCTAGGAATGAAACCTATGTTGAAAGGTCAAGATGTAAAGTAATGATAATTGAATGATGAAATTATTTGCAATGTAACAACATTTGTATCATGTTTTGGACTTAAATTTCTTGCTGAAAAACTGACTGTCAGAAGTTTGTTTGGCTACTTTTTGAATTGATTCTAGTTCCACACACACCTGGTGATTTATACAGCATTCATTTTGATTAATTCACTTTTTCAAATAATCTGTTTTTCAAATGAAATGCATCTTGAACTTCTTTTAAACAAAGTGCTTGGCTTACTGAACATGTATTTGATTTAGAAGTATATCATTGTGGTTAATTGAGCAGTAATGAATTAGAAGTACCAGACTACCAGTACATGCAATATATACACACTGAAATATACATGTGTTGTCATTTTGCTAAGTGTTGCAGTTTTGAGATTGTAGAGTCTGTATTGATTTTACCAACTTTGTGTAGTCACCTTATTGCAAAGATTACAGAAATAACACTTTATATTTTTGTTTGTTGTACCTTAGATTATTGTTTCTCTATGTGTGAACTAAATGCTGGTGCCTTGTCCTAATGTTATACACTCTAATGTACGTGTGTATGTCCAGCTATGATGTTCCCTAAAAACATCTAACGTACGTGTGTATATCCAGCTATGATGTTCCCTAAAACATCTAACGTACGCGTGTATGTCCAGCTATGATGTTCCCTAAAACATCTAATGTACGTGTGTATGTCCAGCTTTGATGCTCCCTAGAATAATTGACTTTATTTATATAGATCTTTGTGGTATAGATATGATATTTGTGGCACCTAGGGCATATATATTTATGAAATTTATTGATACACATTCTGGTACGGGAATAATTGAAATTTACAAAAATGTTCTGCCTTGTTATTTTTGTCAACATTTTATTGTTGTAAACTGGCATTAAATTATGGGAAGATTTTCCCAACAGTTTTTTGTAGAATGCAGATATTAAAATTATTCATTCCATTGTAAGAGGCTTTCAATTTTTGTGATGTTGAATAAATATTGAACTTGAAAGAAAACAGCATCAGAATTGTATGTGAAACTTGTGAATATACTGGGTCACACCTGTCCTCCCTACCTACATGTTAGCTCTTATTATTTAAGGTTCATTGTTTGGCATTGATTGCATAAAAACTGTCGGGATTGTCAATCTAGTTCTAGAATAATTTTTGAAATACTTTAAATTGATTATGTCTCCCCTTTGAATGAATTGAGACATATTTTCTTGTACTTGTTCTTCTTTTACTTCTTCTAACAATTTCTTTGCCGGGTCATAACTTTTAAACCATTATATATATCTTAATGAAACTTACAGTATACCTGCACCGTTCACAGACAATGTGCAGTGCACTGTCAAAAGGTCACTGTGACCATGACCTGAAAGTCAAAAGCCTAATAATTGCAAACTTTTCAGAAACATTTTGTCTGGGCTGTAAATTTTAAACCATTAAAGGTATTTTAATGAATCTTGCAGTATATCTGCATCAACCACAGATGATGTGCAGGGCCCTGTCATTAAGCTGCTGTGAGCTTGATCTCAAGGAAAAAGGTGAAATAAATCCAAACTTTACAGTTGTAACTTTTAAGGGTATTGTGACCTCCCTATCATAACTTTCAAATTCCATTCATTAGTCCCCCACCAGTTCCCAGGGGGGATATGTCTGCATTACATCCATCCGTCCGCCCTCCATCTGTCTGACTGAAATAGTTAGTCCAGGGCATAACTTCTATACTATTTCACTTGGAGTAACCAGATATGGTATGAAAGTACATCTTAAGATAGCAGAGTGACAAGTACAAAAATAAGGTCATTGTAACTTATGGTTTGACCTTTGACATCAACCTTTCAAAACGTTTGTTCACAGCATATCTTCCTCACTGTGTCACTTGAAGTAACCAGATATATGGTATGCAATTACATTTTGGGATGGCAGCGTACAAGTAGTAAGTCATTTTAACATTTGGTTTGACCTTTGACCTCAACCCTGAAAAACGTTTGTCTGGGGTGTATCTTCTATACTTTTTCACCTGGTGTAGCAAGTATATCAAGTGGTGTCAGGTACACAACATGAGTCACTGTTACCAATGCTTTGTCCTTTGACCTCAACTTTTGAAAACTTTAGTCTGCGGCATATCTTCTATACTGTTTCACTTGGTGACCCTCTGTTGGTCAAGATCATTCACCACAATTGATTTGGTCAAGGTCATTTACTTGAACAAAATTGATAGCCAGTTATCCAAGCATGCTTTTGACCAAATATCATCACCCTATGACTCTTGATTATTGGAAGTTGTTGAAAGACTTTAACACATTTGATATATGTGACCTTGAAAGTAGGTCAAGTAATTTTTGTAACACATTGGACAGGCATTCATCCCGGCAAACATATCATCACCCTAGGTCTATTGATCATGATCAAGATCATTCATTTGAACAAATCTGATAGTCCTTCATCTCAGCACTATTTTTTTTTATGCCAAATATTATTACCATATGATGGAGGGCTATCAGATTTGTTCAAATGATTGACCTTGATCATGATCAATAGACCTAGGGTGATGATATGGTTGACCTTGATCATGATCAATAGACCTAGGGTGATGATATGATTGACCATGATCAATGGGCCTAGGGTGATGATATGTTTGACCTTGATCATCATCAATAGACCTAGGGTGATGATATGATTGACCTTGATCATGATCAATAGACCTAGGGTGATGATATGATTGACCATGATCAATGGACCTAGGGTGATGATATGTTTGACCTTGATCGATAGTCAATGAAGCAGGAGTCATATGTATTAAAATATTTAAACAACACCAGAGGAAATCTTTAAAGGACCTTTACAAATTTGACCCTTGTGACTTTGATAGTAGGTCAAGGTCATATATTTGAAAATATTTGGCAGTCTTCATCCTATCATGTTACTGGTCAAATATCAAGATCCTTAACCACTTCTTCATTCAGAAGAGCTCATTTAAATTTTTAACAAATTTGACCCCTGTGACATTGAAGGTAGGTCAAGGTATTTTACTTGAACACACTTGATAGCCCTTTGTCCCAACCCCGAAAATCTGGGATACACTCACGTTATCTGCGCCCCTGGAATATATCATGACAAAATCAAAGGCACACAGTTATTAATTTGACTTGCAAGAACTTATATTTAACGTAGCATTTTTAAAACAATAAACACCAGCACTGTAGTGCTATTATAGTGACCAACATTGGATGCAAATAAGAAATAACTTGGATAAACAGTATGCAGGTAATTACAAAGCCAAAAGATGACAAGAAAATATATAAAAGAGGCAGTTTAACAAGTGAAAAAACAATAAAGGTACAAAAACAAAGCAGCACATAATTAATCACAGACAGGTAGCATAGGTAATCACAGACAGGTAGCATAGGAATCACAGACAGGTAGCAGTTGTAATCACAGACGGGTTGCATAGGTAATCACAGACAGGTACCATTTGTAATCACAGACAGGTACCATTTGTAATCACAGACAGGTAGCATAGGTAATCACAGACAGGTAGCATTTGTAATCACAGACAGGTAGCATTTGTAATCACAGACGGGTAGCATAGGTAATCACAGACAGGTAACATAGGTAATCACAGACAGGAAGCATTTGTAATCACAGACAGGAAGCACAGTATTTGGGGTTAAATTGAAGTTTACTGGAGGTAAACAATGAATACTACTATGTTACACAAGTATTACTATCTGAGGGTTATAGCACTATGACACTGTAATATACATACATGTTAATATAGCAAAGTGTAAAATTTGTCCGGTTATACACTAATATAGTGTGATTTATAACAGGGACAACTAGAACCATAAGCCAAAGGCTAACTAATTCTCCCCGCTCCTATATAAACCAGAACTGTAAGCCAAAGGCTAACTAATTCTCCCCGCTCCAATATAAACCAGAACTGTAAGCCAAAGGCTAAATAATTCTCCCGGTTACTATATAAACCAGAACTGTTAAGTCAAAGGCTAACTAATACCCCTGCTCCTATATAAACCAGAACTGTAACCTAGGGCTAAGTAAGGTAAGCATTTCAAAGCAATGCATAGTCTCCCACCAGTAATGATTTCTTATATATCTCACTCACATACTTCCTGTACTCCCTCAATGCCAAAACATACTTGCAAACAATTCTCCAGGTTACTATATAAACCAGAACTGTAAGTCAAAGGCTAACTAATACCCCTGCTCCTATATAAACCAGAACTGTAACCTAGGGCTAAGTAAGGTAAGCATTTCAAAGCAATGCATAGTCTCCCACCAGTAATGATTTCTTATATATCTCACTCACATACTTCCTGTACTCCCTCAATGCCAAAACATACTTGCAAACCAAATCTTGTCAGCCCAGATGATCAGTTTTGCTGAAATTGTCCTAGTAGTTAAGGAAGAGATGTCAGGACAGTGATTTTTAACAAAGGGCCATAACTCCTTAAAAAGGGTCGAAATGAAAAAGTACTACCCTGACGCACGATATCAGGGGTAATTACCATATCTGAACTTTCAATGAAATTGACCCAATACTTAAGGAGGTAGCCAAATGTTTTTTCAACAAAGGGCCATACCTCCTTTTAAAAGGGTTGGTATGAAAAAGTACTACTTGGATGCACAACGTCAAGGGACAGTTGCCATATCTGTATACTTTCTTTGAAATTGGCCCAGTAGATTAGGAGAAGTTGTCAGGACAAGCATTTTTCAACAAAGGACAATAACTCCATAAAAAAGGGTCAAAACGAAAAGAATATAACCTGGATGCACAATTTTAGGTGATAGTTATCATATGTGAAAACTTTCGTTGAAATCGGCCCCATAGTTTAAGAGAAGTTGTCTGGACAAGGAATTTTCAACAAAGGGCAATAACTTTGTAAAAAAGGGACAGAATGAAAAAAAAATATACCTGGATGCACAACTTCGGGTGGTAATAATCATATCTGGAAAGTTTCGTTGAAATTGGTCCATTACTTTGGAAGGAGTTGTCCGGACAAACTTTTTCTACGGATAGACAGACAGACACGCTGATTCAAGTATCCCCCCTCCCTAACTTAGTTGCGGGGGTTATAATGATTTCAATTTCAACTTAAATTTAGTGGAGATAGAAGTATTTGATTAAAATATATGCGGTGTGACATTTCGGGTTAAAGATTATTTACAATTACATAAAATCATGCAAGACAAACATGATAGTAAAAAAGATATAACATATTTATAAAAGGGATCCGTTTTCATTTTCTGTGTTAACCTCCCCCCCCTATAGTAGGGGGAGGACATTGAAGATATGTATGCGTCTCGTAAGTGTAAAGGGTGAACGCTTCGTGGTTAACGACGTATGTTCTCTGGGGCTATTACTCAATATGTCCGTCCTCTATGTCAATGGCGCATCCGGGGCGGATGGTCAAGGTGGTCTGGGCCCCCCTTTTTTAGCCATCGAAAATTTCATTTATTTTTAACAACCCAAGGAAAATCACCACCTCGCTCTGGTCGGCGTTCAGGAGAGTTCTCAAAACATTACACCCACCCACACACACATTTCTCATCACTATTTTAACATCAGAAAAAAGTTGTCCCTTACTACATATACGTTTTCAGATAATTGTTTGATTTTAGATACCACGTTTTCATATCATAAAATAACAAACGATCCCAAAAAGGACCCTAAGAAGGGTGCTTACAAATATTTCTTAACACACAAAATTCGGACACAGAGTTTTTATTTCATGCTTCTCTCCACACCTCGACACACATTTTGTTTCTAAGTATATTGTGTAATATGAATTAAAGTAAGGTACGGGGATGGGGTCCAAACATTTTTTGTTTCAAAATGGAGAGAAAAAAATCTGGGCGTTTTATACTGGACTTTGAATATATCTATGTATTAAGTATGTGTGTATAATATATATCTTTGAATAATTATTTTTCTTTAGTATCCGATACAGTGTTATAATAAAATTTTGAATTTAGGCACATTTCAGTCACTTTTTCACTGGGGTTACTCGCTGTTTGGATTACGTCGGAGCAAAAAGTTAGTTTTGCACCAAATAGGCGTAAGGACAGAGACAAATTATCCCATGATTGGAAAGTGTTCCGGCAAAATACAAGATTACGTAAATATAATGATATGATGTAAGCCACAAAGTTGAAACAATGATAACAAAAAAGCCTGTTGAAGGTATAGATACTTTCACATACACGTGTCATAGTAGATTTAATACTTTAATTATGAATATTCTGACGTAATACACAAATCTACGTGTGTTTGATATAAAGATGAATGAACGATTCCCCGTGTCATTGAAATGGAGTAAATAGCTACAATAATACTACGAATAATACTATTAGTATTATTAAATATATTAATTTATCACATGGACATTACATTTGTGCATAAACTGCTATTTAATACTAGCGATACGGATTACGAACATGCTCAATTTTAGTTGATACAGATTACGTTCTATGTTGATACGGTTACCTTGAATTAAATCGATTATCAAGCGAGAGCTTTATCACTATTTTATATCTCCGTCTCTTCAGGTGATCAGTTATGTATCTTGTCATTATTTAAAAATCTGGCACAATAGTTGTGGTAGTGTTACATGTTGACCAGCACACTTATAGTTTTGATAATGTTGAGCCATAACAAGCACTGGTCCCCTCCCCTTATTTGGGTAAAGAAATTAATAGCTCTGAAAGACAAAGTAACTTTGAAAATGAATTTATGTTACTCTTTTACATACCCTCAACAGGTCAGTCATGTAATTGTTATATCACTTGAGTAAGCAAGTTAGACATGTTATTATACCCCCGCAACAAAGTTAGGGGGTGTACTGGATTCAGAATGTCTGTCCTACCGTCTGTCTGTCTGTCCCTAGAAAAAAAATTGTCAAGACAACTTCTTCTAAAGTAATGGACCAATTTCAACGAAACTTTCCAGATATGATAACTATCACCTGATAGTGTACATCCATGTATTATCTTTTTCATTCTCACCTTTTTTTACAGAGTGATTGTCCTTTGTTGAAAAATGCTTGCCCTGACAACTTCTCCTAATCTACTCGGCCAATTTCAAAGGAATCAGATATGATAACTACCACCTGATGTTGTGCATCCAGGAATTATTTGTCCAATATGACCCTTTTTTACGGAGTAATGGTCATTTGTTGAAAAATGTTGTACAATACCAGGGGGTAGTTATCATATCTGAAACTTCCGTTGAAATTGGCCCCATAGTTTTGGAGGAGTTTTCTGGACAAATATTTTTCAACAAAGGGCCATTACTCCGTAATGTGTGTGTAATAGCGTACTAATTAACTGTGTCATTAGAGTTTGTGTTTTATTGTTTTTCCTCGAGTTGCCGACCTTGAAAAAGGGTTTATCTATTCTCATTCTGAAAGCAGTATTCTGAATCAATAAATATCAGAGACCAACAAAAGCTACGCTCTTTTAAGGCTTTGCCACGGACTTATTCCGTGCACTTTCCGTAAACGAGAAAAATACTATGGGTACATTCGCGTTACCGGTTGAAACGGTTGAACCGGTAACGTTGAACCTGTAAAGAAAACGACAGGTACAGATCTGGACCGAGGCTGACCTCAGGAAAATTTGGCACGTTTAGGCTTCATTCGCGTATCCGGTTGAAACGGTTGAACCGGTTGAATCTGTAAAGAAAACGACAGGTACAGATTTGGACCGAGGCTGACCTCAGGAAAATTTGGTACGTGTAGATTGAGGGGTCCAGACTGTCTGTCCCTAGAAAAAAAATTGTCAAGACAACTTCTTCTAAAGTAATGGACCAATTTCAACGAAACTTTCCAGATATGATAACTATCACCTGATAGTGTACATCCATGTATTATCTTTTTCATTCTCACCTTTTTTTACAGAGTGATTGTCCTTTGTTGAAAAATGCTTGCCCTGACAACTTCTCCTAATCTACTCGGCCAATTTCAAAGGAATCAGATATGATAACTACCACCTGATGTTGTGCATCCAGGAATTATTTGTCCAATATGACCCTTTTTTACGGAGTAATGGTCATTTGTTGAAAAATGTTGTACAATACCAGGGGGTAGTTATCATATCTGAAACTTCCGTTGAAATTGGCCCCATAGTTTTGGAGGAGTTTTCTGGACAAATATTTTTCAACAAAGGGCCATTACTCCGTAATGTGTGTGTAATAGCGTACTAATTAACTGTGTCATTAGAGTTTGTGTTTTATTGTTTTTCCTCGAGTTGCCGACCTTGAAAAAGGGTTTATCTATTCTCATTCTGAAAGCAGTATTCTGAATCAATAAATATCAGAGACCAACAAAAGCTACGCTCTTTTAAGGCTTTGCCACGGACTTATTCCGTGCACTTTCCGTAAACGAGAAAAATACTATGGGTACATTCGCGTTACCGGTTGAAACGGTTGAACCGGTAACGTTGAACCTGTAAAGAAAACGACAGGTACAGATCTGGACCGAGGCTGACCTCAGGAAAATTTGGCACGTTTAGGCTTCATTCGCGTATCCGGTTGAAACGGTTGAACCGGTTGAATCTGTAAAGAAAACGACAGGTACAGATTTGGACTGAGGCTGACCTCAGGAAAATTTGGTACGTGTTGATTGAGGGGTCCAGACGTACCTGACCGAAACTAAAATGCTGACTATTGCCAAATTGCGTTATTTCTTTCTTAAACAATGTCAAGTCACATGTAATTTTTAAGATACGTTATGTAATTTAGTGGACGCATGAGAGAAGGGCATAATATTCTTGATACATTGTTTTTTATTCTCCGAAAGTGTGGATTTTTAGCTCTGCTTATAGAACGGTCCAAGTGTGTTCGTTTATCGAGGAAAATTTCTGCGCCACACGTACCGTTTCAACCGGGATACGCGAAATGTAGCCTAGATTTTTTCGTTTACGGAACGGTGCCGACGGTTCCCGTTTGGTAGCAGAGTACAGTAGCGTACGGTGGCCATGGGTGATATTTTTATACAACGAATAACCCCTGTAATATAACATGTATCAAAATTTAAAAAAAAAATCAGCACTAAAATTGGCATATACATGATGAAGTGGACTATGTGGGCTTCATAATTTAACAAAAAAAAAATCGAATTTGGTTTGAGACTACAATTTTGGGCATTTACAAATCTGTGTCTACACAACAAAAGCTAGCTTTTCATGTAGTCTATTTTTGTACTCAGCACATGTGTAAATATTGTGAAAAATCCACCGGAATGACCTATGCTAAAACGTGAGTATTTCTGTTACCGAGTAGGCGATATTTAATTTCAGACAGGTTTTAAGAAAAACAATTCTACTTGCGGGGGTCAAATTCTGGGTTAAAAATCATGATTTTTTGCATATTTTGGTGTTTTTTGATGTGGTAACCATGGTTTTCAGAAGTCCCAAATCTGGGGAAATCACTTTTTGAAAAAAAAAATGTTCTTCTAAAAAACACCTATTCAAAATGTAGTTTATAAATATATATATATATGTAGGTGTGTTGTGCAGGATGAATCCGCTATCCATGTTTATCCGAGACATGCCCTTTATTTTTAGGGTCAAGCCATTTCTACTGTACTCTGCCACCTTTGCATTGCAATGTATTGGTTCTTAACTTGCTCACAGGTTTTGCCATACTGACCAATCAGAACAGGTGTTGCATGACGTTACGGAACTACACTTTCACAAGTCCCCGGATAATGGTGACTTGATAACGAAAATTAAGCGTATCGATGTATGCTGATATAGGGGTAGATATACTTATTAACATCTTAACACATGTGCATTGATACCTATGTAGAGGTTGTAATGAACTGTAAACATGTCACTCTGTACGTCTACCTCGACGCTTTTATTACAATGCCGAGGACCCTATCTGCTATGAGCGTGACCTGTTTTGACGAATAAGACCTACCTCTGTTGTGTCAGTTGGTCTTGTTCACTACCTTTATGGATTTGTTTTCGACAGCTCAGGGATTTATGGGAAAGTACACCTGTTTCCTGTCCCTGTAGTACTAAAAAAGATGAGCCCATTTATCAAGTTGGGCACAACGGTGCATATTGGTAATAATCCTGCATTAGGGCTGAAAGTGAAAATAAAAACACACGAAGTTCTTTTACACATTATGAACAAAAAAGGGGGTCATTCTCTTTCAACATAATCAAATAAAAAATACAATGAGGTACAATTGTGTACAATTGTGACTACACACTGAAGTCAATAGAGAACAAAGTCAGTGATATGGTTTGCCCTTTTCACAAAAAGTAAGACATCAGAATCGATAATATTTTGTGCACAAATGTACTTAAATGTGTTATTTATTTGATTCAGTGGACAGAATGACGCCCTTTTTTGCTCCAATTGTTTAAAAGAACTTTGTGTGTTTTTATTTCACTTCATTCCCCATTTCAGTTATAAAATTGTTACTCAAATGGCCTGGGTAACTGTTACCCATATGCGCCGTTGTGCCCAACCTGTTTAATTCATACAACACCTAAAAAATTATAAAATCATATCAAACATAAATGCAATCCCCCCTCACTCTTTAGAATATGCACACATATAATTGAAAATGACAAAACATGCACAAGTCTATTCAAATTTGTACAATGCTGTAGTCAAGCCTTTAACACCACAAAGTCAAATAACTGACCATGAAATCAAATGGCTGACCTGCCACTGGGATGTCTTAATATAATGGTCTACATGACTGGCATCCACAGCTGCAGCAAACTAGCTAGATAGCTGACTCTGTAGCTATACAGAAAGCCTCCTTAGGTACCGATTTGTGATAGCCAACTCAACAGCTATACAATACATTGGTGATATTATTCAGAGTATTTGTTCGCCATCAAAATGACTTCGAAAATTTCCTTGGATATATCATCCAAATTTGTGTTAGCCAACTCAACAGCTATACAATAACTTTTTCCTTGTGATATTATTCAGGGTATTTGTTAGCCATTGAAATGGCTATGAAGAGTTCCTTGGATATATCATCCAAATTTGTGTTAGCCAACTCAACAGCTATACAATACATTGGTGATATTATTCAGGGTATTTGTTCGCCATTGCTATGAAAATTTCCGTGGATATATCATCCAAGTTTGTGTTAGCCAACTCAACAGCTATACAATACATTGGTGATATTATTCAGAGTATTTGTTAGCCATTGAAATGGCTATGAAAATTTCCTTGGATATATAACCCAATTTTGTGTTAGCTAACTTAACAGCTATACATGTACAGTACATGATTAATAATATGGAGAGCAACTAGTTGCCATTGAAATGGCTATGAAAATATCATTGTATACAGTATGTATGGGGAAATTATTAGTTAACTAATTGGCTACATAAACATGGGGTGAATATATATGTAGCCAATTAAGTTGCAATGAAATGTTGCTACTACATATGGTAGCAGAGTACAGTAGAAATGGCTTGATCCTTAAAATACAGGGCATGTCTCAGATAAACATGGATAGTGGATTCATCCTGCACAACACACCTACATATATATATTTATAAACTACATTTTGAATACATTTTTTTTAAAAGAATGATTTTTTTTTTCAAAAAGTGATTTCCCCAGATTTGGGACTTGTGAAAACCATGGTTACCACATAAAAAAAAGCCAAAAAATGCAAAAAAAATGCAAAAAAACATGATTTTAACCCAAAATTTGACCCACGCAAGTAGTAATTTTTTTCTTAAGCCCTGTCTTAAGTTGAATATCACCTACTCGGTAACAGAAATACTCACGTTTTAGCATAGGTCGTTCAACTGTATTTTTCACAATATTTACCCATGTGCTGAGTACAAAAATAGACTACATGAAAAGCTAGCTTTTGTTGTGTAGACACAGATTTGCAAATGGCCAAAAATGTAGCCTCAAACCAAATTCGAGTTTTTTCCCCTTTTAAATGTGAAGCCCACATAGTCCACTTCATCATGTATATGCCAATTTTAGTGCTGATTTAAAAAAATAAAATGGATACGGTACATGTAATATTACATGGGTTATTCATTGTACAAAAATATCACCCATGGCCACCGTACGCTACTGTACACTGCTAACTATATACAGTAGTCAACAATAGCTACATTGGTAAACTCTTCTATAAATAGCTATCTTATCCTACTCTTCTATAAATAGCTATCTTATCCTACTCTTCTATAAATAGCTATCTTATCCTACTCTTCTATAAATAGTTATCTTATCCTATTACAAATAACCCGTTTTTAACCGATCTTTCTGACGCCTCTGAAGTAATGTTCAGTAGAAGTGGAGTTGAAGTAATGACAAACATGCACTTACCATATCATGCATTTTTTTTTAAATAGATGAAAAACATTTGGTTAAGTACTGCCTGACAACTTACGGATGGATGCTGCTACGAAGAAAGACTCATTTATAAGTGAGCTGAAAGAGTTTGTCGATGTCTGTCAAGATAACCTCAACAATGTCCTCCACAGGATAGGATGGACACCAGACAATATTTTGGAGGTATACAAGATTTAAATAAAAATGTTGAATTTATCTCTTTCTACCGACCCACTAAAAAGTAGCCTGCTCCAATACTTTCATTGCTAGAAAATGATATATAAATCATATTACTTTTCATCTGCAAATATTGTTTCGTTATTTGTGCATGTATCAGGAGCAGAGAAATGGACAGCCAGACCGGGGTTAGAACCAGTACCCTCCGAATTCTAGATGGATGCTCAAACCAATTAAGCTACCTGGTCGCCGGCTATGGACCAAGTTCAGTTCCATTACAATGCATATGTACCATTCGAATGAGCAATAGGGGGAAGAAAACAAACAAACTAATGCACATATATATAAACATTAGCATTTTCCCCTCTTTCGCGATAGGCACAGGTCTGTGATTTGAGCTTTATATAGTTTTAATTTCTGACTTAATCTCCTTTTGAGATTTTTTTGATGTAGACAATCATAATTGTGCACTGGAGTTGGTGTGCACTTAATTTCACTTAATATTTTCATTCTCAAAAGTCCAGGGATTATGCTTACTTACACTCTCTACACCTCTGAGGAATGTGTCATGACAAAATTGAAGGCACAAAGTTTTCGATTTGAGTGAAAACTGACCAATAACTAGGATAATACCTGTCCTTGAAAGATTACAAAGGAGCAATACGCGACTTCGAAGCCTGCCAATTTTACAGTTATGCTAATGTGCAAATCTTTTGATGTACATCAAAAGAAAACTACATAGTCTTATTTTGTCGTCTACAAGGTGGTGCATACAGAGCATTTTGATTGTTGGTAACATATTTATTCCTGGGATGCAGAGAGAATAAATGAGCATACCCCTCGAGTTCAGGGATGTCCATACACGAATGTGTAATTAATTTATCTCTACCACTGTGCAGATGAAAATGTTGACTATATTTGTTGTGCTCAGCATGAAGATCGAGGTCTATGTCCACACGACAGTAACCATGTGATGCCTGCCACTAGTCTGGAGAAGCATGCTGCCATCTGTCCCCTCCTGAAGAAAGGTTACAACAAAGAGGAAGCAGTAAGTACCCTTTACACTATGACAAAGATCGTCATTGTGCCATATAAACACTGATGTAACAGAAGTCATTATTTGTTCATACCTCTGTAAGGTGTCGAACCCAGGACCTCTGGTTTACTATTCTTACACTCTACAGAATGAGGTAAAGAGCAGTTCTCTCCAGCCAAGTCAGCAGGAAGCAGACAGTGTTTTACCAGGGTGAAACTGACCATTTAACGAAGATAGCTATAGGCTCTACGTTATTGAGCATCTGTAAACATGTTAAATATTAGATTTTAAGTATGGCCTAGAAATGCACTCACAAAATTAATGTTGCCACATTACAAATGCTTTTATTTCGAAAATGATTGTTTTAGACACAGCAACAACAAAGTAACAGATATTTCTATGAAGGACTGGAAGCCAGGGTGCCAACTGTGAACATTGGTTAGTACATGTATGTGCTTTAATTAGTTAGTATGTGTGTATTAATTAGTAAGTATGTGAATATTAATAAGTTAGTATGTATATTAATTGGTTAGTATGTGCATTCATTGGAAAGTATGTGCATTAATTAGTTAGTATGTATATTAATTGATGAGTATGTGTAATAATTGGTTAATATGTTTATTAATTGATAAGTATGTGCATTAATTGATTAGTATGTGTATTAATTGGTTAGTATGTGTATTAATTGGTTAATATATTTATTAATTGATTAGTATGTGCATTAATTGATTAGTATGTGTATTAATTGGTTAGTATGTGTATTAATTGGTTAGTATGCGTATTAATTGGTTAGTATGTGTATTAATTGGTTAGTATGTGTATTAATTAAGTGTGCGATAACTATGTATCTGTATTAAACATCTAGGTAACAAAGCCCCATGGAGTATTAGTACAGGATAACAAAGCCCCATGGAGTATTAGTACAGGGTTACAAAGCCCCATGGAGTATAAGTACAGGGTCACAAAGCCCCATGGAGTATTAGTACAGGGTCACAAAGCCCCATGGAGTATTAGTACAGGGTCACAAAGCCCCATGGAGTATAAGTACAGGGTCACAAAGCCCCATGGAGTATAAGTACAGGGTCACAAAGCCCCATGGAGTATAAGTACAGGGTCACAAAGCCCCATGGAGTATAAGTACAGGGTCACAAAGCCCCATGGAGTATAAGTACAGGGTCACAAAGCCCCATGGAGTATAAGTACAGGGTCACAAAGCCCCATGGAGTATAAGTACAGGGTCACAAAGCCCCATGGAGTATAAGTACAGGGTCACAAAGCCCCATGGAGTATAAGTACAGGGTCACAAAGCCCCATGGAGTATAAGTACAGGGTCACAAAGCCCCATGGAGTATAAGTACAGGGTCACAAAGCCCCATGGAGTATAAGTACAGGGTCACAAAGCCCCATGGAGTATAAGTACAGGGTCACAAAGCCCCATGGAGTATAAGTACAGGGTCACAAAGCCCCATGGAGTATAAGTACAGGGTCACAAAGCCCCATGGAGTATAAGTACAGGGTCACAAAGCCCCATGGAGTATAAGTACAGGGTCACAAAGCCCCATGGAGTATAAGTACAGGGTCACAAAGCCCCATGGAGTATAAGTACAGGGTCACAAAGCCCCATGGAGTATAAGTACAGGGTCACAAAGCCCCATGGAGTATAAGTACAGGGTCACAAAGCCCCATGGAGTATAAGTACAGGGTCACAAAGCCCCATGGAGTATAAGTACAGGGTCACAAAGCCCCATGGAGTATAAGTACAGGGTCACAAAGCCCCATGGAGTATAAGTACAGGGTCACAAAGCCCCATGGAGTATAAGTACAGGGTCACAAAGCCCCATGGAGTATAAGTACAGGGTCACAAAGCCCCATGGAGTATAAGTACAGGGTCACAAAGCCCCATGGAGTATAAGTACAGGGTCACAAAGCCCCATGGAGTATAAGTACAGGGTCACAAAGCCCCATGGAGTATAAGTACAGGGTCACAAAGCCCCATGGAGTATAAGTACAGGGTCACAAAGCCCCATGGAGTATAAGTACAGGGTCACAAAGCCCCATGGAGTATAAGTACAGGGTCACAAAGCCCCATGGAGTATAAGTACAGGGTCACAAAGCCCCATGGAGTATAAGTACAGGGTCACAAAGCCCCATGGAGTATAAGTACAGGGTCACAAAGCCCCATGGAGTATAAGTACAGGGTCACAAAGCCCCATGGAGTATAAGTACAGGGTCACAAAGCCCCATGGAGTATAAGTACAGGGTCACAAAGCCCCATGGATTATTAGTACAGGGTCACAAAGCCCCATGTAGTATAAGTACAGGGTCACAAAGCCCCATGGAGTATAAGTACAGGGTCACAAAGCCCCATGGAGTATAAGTACAGGGTCACAAAGCCCCATGGAGTATAAGTACAGGGTCACAAAGCCCCATGGAGTATAAGTACAGGGTCACAAAGCCCCATGGAGTATAAGTACAGGGTCACAAAGCCCCATGGAGTATAAGTACAGGGTCACAAAGCCCCATGGAGTATAAGTACAGGGTCACAAAGCCCCATGGAGTATAAGTACAGGGTCACAAAGCCCCATGGAGTATAAGTACAGGGTCACAAAGCCCCATGGAGTATAAGTACAGGGTCACAAAGCCCCATGGAGTATAAGTACAGGGTCACAAAGCCCCATGGAGTATAAGTACAGGGTCACAAAGCCCCATGGAGTATAAGTACAGGGTCACAAAGCCCCATGGAGTATAAGTACAGGGTCACAAAGCCCCATGGAGTATAAGTACAGGGTCACAAAGCCCCATGGAGTATAAGTACAGGGTCACAAAGCCCCATGGAGTATAAGTACAGGGTCACAAAGCCCCATGGAGTATAAGTACAGGGTCACAAAGCCCCATGGAGTATAAGTACAGGGTCACAAAGCCCCATGGAGTATAAGTACAGGGTCACAAAGCCCCATGGAGTATAAGTACAGGGTCACAAAGCCCCATGGAGTATAAGTACAGGGTCACAAAGCCCCATGGAGTATAAGTACAGGGTCACAAAGCCCCATGGAGTATAAGTACAGGGTCACAAAGCCCCATGGAGTATAAGTACAGGGTCACAAAGCCCCATGGAGTATAAGTACAGGGTCACAAAGCCCCATGGAGTATAAGTACAGGGTCACAAAGCCCCATGGAGTATAAGTACAGGGTCACAAAGCCCCATGGAGTATAAGTACAGGGTCACAAAGCCCCATGGAGTATAAGTACAGGGTCACAAAGCCCCATGGAGTATAAGTACAGGGTAACAAAGTCCCATGGAGTATAAGTACAGGTTATAACATTCCTTTTATACAGTTAAGTTCTAAAGGTGGTGTAAACATAACTTTGGTTGTACTCAACATTCCTGTAACAATTATACCTGTAGCAGGGCCTTGATAATCCAGCAACCTTCATTCCCTGTAAAAGTGATGGGAATGTGAGGTTGCTTGAATTCTGAGACCACAGGTACTAGCCTTGTCTGTCATCACACCCATAGTATTATACCGTAAACGTTTATATTATGGTTGTATGACAGACAAGGCTAGTACCTGTGCTGAGACAATATTCTGTAGAAAATGGCTGATCTATTTCCCAGAACAATGGGACAACAGAATAATAGAGGCGTTCCAATGAGACTTGACTTCAGTCTCAACATTCTGACCTAAATACTGTACATCAACATGATTCCAGTTCCCAGATAGATATATTTTCCTAGATATCAATGTCCAGATAGCCAGCTTTCCAGAAAAATTGCTATCAATATTAACATAGGTACCAGAGTACATGTATCTCAAATGTACAGGATGACACAGGTTGGGAGTAAATGTGAAAGATTTCTAGACTCTTCACTATATTACCTATAACTTTTTTAGTAAATCTACATACACGAATGAACCATTAATAAACAATACGCCATCATGTTTTTTTCCTGATCACTATTCCAAGGACATGTTCACAATAAATGAAGGTCAAAGTTGATTTGTTGTTCAATTTCAGATCAGGAGACGGTAAACAAGATTCTTTGGGACCACCATGTGAAGAACCGATCAAGTAAGAAATACATGTACATAGAAAAGTCCTAATTTTTACGTTATCATTATTCTCAGAATCCAGGATAATCTGAACCAAGATTATCCGAAGCCATTTATATGTCTCTCATTGGGTTTGGATAATGGCTACTTTCTCAAATTGTTATTTGTCACAATATTTTGCTCACAATACATCCTGTATCGCTAGTACCATAATCGTTCAGGTTATTATTACCTTCACATAGGAAAAAGTAGGGACAGGCAATTAATAAAAACAATAGTATGTTATACATTTTTTAAAAAGGGTCTGGTAGAATTAGGATTTGGTTAAAAGATGAGCAGTAATTTCAACATAAAGAGCTTAGCAGAAATATCACCACAAATATAGATTGAAAGAGAGATTTTATTTTGCTAAAAAAAATATTGTGTACATTCGTGAAAATGTTACCATAAAATTTCAGATGTGGAAGAAATAGAAATTACCGGCAAATGATTTGTAGTTTTCCCAAAGAATTTAACATCAGATTACTTTAAAGCTATTTCTTTTTTGTTGTGATGTCCAGGCAATATTGGGGTCACTTTATGTTTCATAAAAAGGCAAGATGTTTATAGTAAACATTCAAAAGTCACCATTGTGTTTTGTTGTAGTATTTTACGGTCAGAAAGATGATTGTTTGACCAGAGATGACCAAGAGGTACAGCTGACCGCTGCAGAAAAAGCTGCCATTTATGAGTTTGTTGTGTCAAAAGCAAAGGAGGAGCGGGAGTTCACACCTCTTGAAGATGAATTCCTCACCATGAATCTCGAGGAATTTGTCAAGAAAAAAATATCAGGTATTCTAAGAATCTTTAATACCTTATTAAAACTGTTTATATGACAAGAAGGATAACGATAATGACATACAGGAATTCCTTCATTGGTCATCGTCATTCATACAAATGGTTTACTTTTAAAAGCTCTTGAAGGACTGCTTTGTTGTATGTGAAACTTTCTACACATACCAATTGTTATCAAATACCTGCTCAGTGAATTTTCTTCCTTAATTTTACAGCAAAAAACATACAGGAATTCCTTCATTGGTCATCGTCATCCATACAAATGGTTTACTTTTAAAAGCTCTTGAAGGACTGCTTTGTTGTATGTGAAACTTTCTACACATACCAATTGTTATCAAATACCTGCTCAGTGATTTTTCTTCCTTAATTTTACAACAGTCTGTCCATGCAAAAGAACAATATTGAAATATTTGTATTGAAATTCAGAAGATTTTCCCTTTATTTAGGGAAAAATAAAACTTTTTTTTGTGAGGGAAAGCAGTCTGTATTAGACAATTATAATCACTGGCTCATGTCTGATTTAGAACCAAATCTAAAAAGCAACATGGGACTCCTTTACTTCCATGGAATTCTTGTTTTAATAATACTGGGTATGTACTGTTCTATAAAAGTAACCGGGTAGATCAACGGTGAGGAGTGCAACCTTGTTTAGATATTAACAATTCATAAAAACATCTTGTTTCATTCTATTTTTAGCTCACCTGGTCCGAAGTCGTTTGTACGTCAACAATTTCTTCAAACAACTTCTTCTTAACTACTGATTCAAATTTAACTAAATTTGACTGGAAGCATCACTAGGTGGTGGGGATTCAAAATTCTACAAATGGTAGGGTTAACCCCCCAGGGGGCTAAGGGGCAGGGCCAAAAGGGGACAATTTGGCTATATTGCTATAAATGACTTCTTCTGTAGAACTGTGCAATGGATATCAATCATATTTGGTCAGAAGCATTCATGGGAGGCGGGGTTTCAAAATTGTACAAATGGTGGGGCCGACCCCCAAGGGTGCTGAGGGTTGGGCCAAAAAGGGTTATTTGGCTATATTGCTTTAGGCAACTTCTTCTCTATAACTAAAAGATGGACATCAACCATATTTGACCGGAAGCATCCCTAGGTGGTGGGGATTCAAAATTGTACAAATGATGGGGCTGAACCCCCAGGGGGCTGAAGGGCAGGGACAAAAGGGGTCAATTTGGCTATATTGCTTTAAGCGACTTCTTCTCTACAACTAAAAGATGGAAATCAACCATATTTGACTGGAAGAATCCCTAGGTAGTGGGGATTCGAAATTGTACAAATGGTGGGGCTTAAACCCCAGGGGGCTAAGGGGCAGGGCCAAAAGGGGTCAATTTGGATATTTTGCTTTAAGCGACTTCTCCTCTGGACCTTAGAGATGGATATCAACCATATTTTCCTGGCAACATCCCTAGATAGTGGGGATTGAAAATTGTACAAATGGTGGGGCTGACGGGCGGGGCAAAAAGGGGTCAATTTGGCTATATTGCTTTAAGCGACTTCTCCTCTGGAACTAAGAGATGAATGTCAACCATATTTTACTGGAAGCATCCCTAGGTAGTTGGGATTCAAAATTGTACAAATGGTGGGGCTGACCCTCCAGGGGGTTGAGGGGTGTGGCCAAAAGGGGGCAATTTGGCTATATTGCTATAAATTATTTCTTCTGTATAACTATGCACTGGATATCAATCAAATTTGGTCGGAAGCATTCATAGGTGGCAAGGATTCAAAATTGTACAAGTAGTGGGGCTGACCCTCTGGACTAAAGGATTGGGCCAAAAATAGTTTATTGCTTGGAAATGGTTGAGATCTCCACCCTATAACCATATATACAATTGCTGAGTATAAAGAGAAGAATGCACATATGCTTCCAGGTTTACCCAGGGGTCTGGCCCCACCCTTGGAGTCTTAACCCCTGGGTCATAACTTTGAAACGGTTAAGATCCCCACCCCAAAACTATATGTTCAATTGTTGGGCATAAAGAGACGAATGCAGTCATGATATTAGAATTGACCCCGGGGTCTGCCCCACCCTCAACCTCAGAGTCATAACTTTGAAACAGTTGAGATTGTCACCTCAAAACTGTATTTACAAATACTGGGCATAAAGAGAAAAATGCAGTCATGATATTATAAGTGATCCTTGGGTCTGGCCACAACCCTAGGGACCTAGTTTCTGAATCACACCTTGAAACAGTTGAGATCCCCACCCCATAACCATACATAAAATTGCTGGGCATGAAAAATCTAATACAGATATGATACAAGGTTTTGACCTTTTGGTCTGGCTCATTCCCTTGGATCTTATTTGGAGAATAGTTTGCCATGATTACTTTTGATATCCAGGTGAGCGATATAGGCCTTCTGGGCCTCTTGTATTGAATAAATATTCATTGTCTACTCACTAAATTCCACGTTCGATCTAAAAATGCAGATTTTGTGACAAGGATATATTTGTGATTTTTTTCTCATCTAACATTGACCTTGGTCTATTTTATGTTTAAAATTAATGCTATGATTGGAATGGAGGAAGAAGCAATACTCTATTTTCAATCTCAGTTCAACTGAAAGAAACTTGTTTAAAGTAAGCCATTGACATATGAACAGGAAAGGATGGAGCCAATGACAGTAAACCCGCCAACTACCTGGAATACATCAAATCTGAAAGGGACTACAAACGCCGCCGACAAACGTACCGAGCCAAGAATGTCTACACCACAAAGAAATCCTATACTGAGGTAGGAGCATTTCATTTCAGCTTTTGTACATTTTACTCCTTTTACCGGTACTAAAATTTACAGTGCTAATGACAATCATTTTATTTAGTTTGACGATTTAAAAAAGATGAGTTTTGAGAATGCTTCCTTTTATTCCAGTCTAAAACACATTTCACCCCAACTCTCCGTGACGTAACATTTCATTCCCACTTTCCGTGACATAACATTTCAGTCCCACTCTCCGTGACGTAACATTTCAGTCCCACTCTCTGTGACGTAACTTTTCAGTCCCACTCTCTGTGACGTAACATTTCAGTCCCACTCTCCGTGACGTAACATTTCAGTCCCACTCTCCGTGACGTAACATTTCACTTACAATGACTCAGACGTAACATTCCACTCATATTGTCTCAGATAACAAATATATATTGTTTTTAATTATCCTAGATGTCTTAATAAAATCTTCTCCTTTTTTTTTGTAAACAGTCCCAGAAGAATTTTTTTAATGATAATTTAACATCTAATTCAAAAGACCTTGAAGACAGTTGAACTTTTCCAATTCAAAGGCTGGAATAGTTCATTATGAAATTTCAGGGGTGAATGAGTTAACTTCAAAACCATGTTTTCCAATTCTTTATGGATGATTTGTTCACTAAACTACTGTTATATATGAACAGGCAAAACTTACTGAAACTCCTGAGAAATGTTAGTTATTTCAACACTTTAATGGCAGTTTTCTTTCCTGAATGTATAATTGAAGAGTATAGTGACATGCTTGATCTTCATTTTTGCATGATACAAATCTCTAATATTTTGTAATTTTATAGCTGTTGATTTGTTAATAATTTACAGGTTATCAGAGATGTAATAGAAAACCAGACAGATCTTTTTGCATCCTTCATGAGTCTAGAAGACAAGGGGAGCACAGGACAGGAACATGGTGAAGACGTTTCAGGAGCAGGAAGCTTGGATCGGACAAAGGATAGTGCTGATCTTGCATCTGAAGAAATATTTATGGACAGAAGGAAAAGTTATTCATCATCTAGAGGTAGATCTAGGGAGAGAAGTAGTGACAAGACTAAGGAATGGCATTCCAGATCAAGAGATCAAGAGAGTCGCAGATCAAGAAATTTGTATCATGTTTCCCAAAGATCTGTAGAAAGAAGTGGCTTAGAGTACAGTAGGGAAAGAGGTGGAGACCAGCCTCTGGAAAGGGACAGTTTGGGAGAGATTGCCAGAGAGGAGAGACAAGAAAGGGGAAAAAGAAGGTCAAGGTCATTGTCAGAGAGCAGTGACAGTGAATACAGTAAAAAGCACAAAAAACATCACAAAAAACATAAACACAAACACAAGCATAAAAAACATAAATCAGTCAAAATAGATCACAGTTAAAGTAGCTAAAAGTCAAAGTCAAAATATGTCACTGTCAAACCAAAAATAGGTCAATCATAAGTCAAAATAGGTCACAGTTAAGTAGGTCAAAGTCAAAATCATAATAGGTCACAAAGTCAAAGTCAAAATAGGTCACAGTTAAGTTGAAATAAGTCAGTAGACCAGTTGGATAAGATCAGTCAAAGTAGACCAGTTAAAACCGGTCAATGTCAAAGGAGACAACATGCTATGTAATCCTTGTGTTGTTACTCTCTCCTGGCCTCCTTACAAATAGTGTATTGCACTGGGTGCTCTTCATTTCAAGATGAAACTGCTGATCGATTGAAGAGCTACCTCTATCAGGTATCTTGGATCTGGCTTTCAGTGTTTTATCACTACAGCAGATGTTTGCTGTCAATAGATCTCATTAACAGTCAATGGACAACTCGAAAACTACATTCTTCATATACACTTCTGGCATTCCACATATCAATGTGTAGGTTGTCTTTCTGGTACCTTTATTCAGGAGTTGACAAATATGCTCAGTTTTCTTTAAAAGCTAGATCCTATTCCGTTTTATTTTATTGTTCTGATCTTCCATATAGCATGATGAAAATTGTTACAGTCGTAGCATTTCTTTAAAATTTCAGCTCTCTTTTGACTTACCTTTGTTAGGAATTGGAGCTTTCCATATATGCTCTGTTTTCTTCAGCAATACCAAGCCTTGTCTAAGTGTGATCTAGGATATCAGAAATACCATGCCTTGTCTAAGTGTGAGCTAGGATATCAGCCATACCAAGCCTTGTCAAAGTTTGATCTAGGATATCAGCAATGCCAAGCCTTGTCTAAGGGTGATCTAGAATAACAGCAATACCAAGCCTTGTCTTAGTGTGATGTAGGATCTCAGCAATACCAAGCTTTGTCTAAGTGTGATCTAAGATAAAAGCAATACCAAGCCTTCCCTAAGTGTGATCTAGGCTAACAGCAATACCAAGCCTTCCCTAAGTGTGATCTAGGATATCAGCAATACCAAGCCTTGTCTAAGTGTGATCTAGGATAACAGCAATACCAAGCCTTGTCTAAGTGTGATCTATTCAGCAATACCAAGCCTTGTCTAAGTGTGATCTAGGATATCAGCAATACCAAGCCTTGTCTAAGTGTGATCTAGGATATCAGCAATACCAAGCCTTGTCTAAGTGTGATCTAGGATATCAGCAATACCAAGCCTTGTCTAAGTGTGATCTAGGATATATAGTGAGACAACAGTTTAGTGCAGATATTACATACAGAACATGCAAAAAATGAGGCTAAGAAAATACTGATAAGCCAGCCCTCCGGGCACACTGCCAGGCGTTGAAGGACCATACCGACCTTTGACATATCACAAGTTAGCCGACCATTGCCTACAATATTGTTCAGCCATTACATCCCTTTTTCTTGACAAATGCAGGTGACTTATCTACTTTGGAGGGATTCTTGTTTAAAAGAGATGTACCGCCTCGGAGAGATCCTAGTTTTACCTAGAGATGTATCACCTTGAAGAGATTCTATTTAAGTAGAGACCTATCCACTTCAGACGGATTCTAGTTGAAGTAGAGACCTATCCACTTCACACAGATTCTAGTTGAAGTAGAGACCTATCCACTTCACACGGATTCTAGTTGAAGTAGAGAAGTGACGGTTAGCATGCCATGAATGTTAATGCGTTTTCCATAGATTGAAATGAAATCTAACTGTTGTGGTAAAATCAATGTCTCCAACAGATATTGCGATCCCATTAAAGAAACACAATAAAACAAATTAATTGTACATATTTTTTTATTTTATTTATTGACATTTTTGGCATTTAATATTTAATTCTTCCCATTCCACATACATAAAATATATGACCAGTAATGTGGGTTAGATAAAGGCAATATACAAAGCATTATGACTTGGTGCTATTGGCCGATGTTAGGTTCAAATAAAAATAATATAGCAGCAATATTGACAGCAAGCAATAATAATTAATAGGTCTGAAATGATATGTAAATTATGAATTTTCAAAGGACTAAAGCTAAGATATAAATTTGAAGCTTATAATAGTATAAATTTCTGAAATATTAGTTTTGAAATTCATTTCAGTTATATAAAGGTTTATGGAAATAGATTTGTGTTGTGAATTATCTCTTTGTTTTAAATGTGTTTCTTACCACTAAAAGGTGAACAGAAGAAAACGCTTTAACCATCCTTCTCAAAACCTAATTAACAAATTGAGAAATGTCTACATCTTCAACTGTTCTGCCAAAAGCTGAAAGGTCAAGCTGAAGTTAATCATGATGAATTTCATGTTTGAACAAATGGTTATAACGTAAGAGTATATGTGCCCATGACTTGACAATTCTGACAGGATGTCACCCCGTGTAGATTGAACAAAAGGACTCCATACAACAGGGACCACATACATGTATGTATCTCTTTAGCTTACAAATATATACTAAGGTAGTTTAAATATCAAATATTTTCCAAGTATTGAATTTAGTTTGAACAAAACTGTTTTAGGTTTTAGAACCCAAAAAACACCACTTTGATTTTATACTTTATTAGGGGTAATGTTAATTATATAATTATTTACTTGGTCTTAATGGTCTGTTAAAACAATTGAAGGTCATACAGGGCCACACATCGTAGGAAAAACTTGTTTAAGAATCCTGATACAAATGTCAACATTAGCACCATCTTGACATGCCTGTTTTTGAAGCAACAAAAAAAATCTACTTCCACAAGCACCGACAAAGTCTGAAACAATTTGCCTGTCTATCTGCTTCATTTTATTGGGTCCTGCTCTTCTAAAATAGATTTCGCAAATTTGATAAATCTTAATTTCTTGCATCTTAAATATATCTTCCACAACTCCACCAGTTTCAGCCTATTTAAGTTGAGTGTTAACCAGGAAGGTCTGTAAATTCATCAAGACCATTAGTTTTTACATGGCACTCTGCATTTTCTTTCTCCAGTGGTATTTGTTATATCACTCTATGCAGTACAAATCTATACTGTGTGGCACCTACCTATCACAAATTCTTCGTTGTTTTTTTTAAAGTCAAAAACAGAATAATGTTTCTATTCGTTTGTAACAGTTATAAACAACACCTACAACATATCTAAAACATTATGATACTTTGTATCTTAACAATCATTGCACCTTATGTTATTGATAACACTTTTTCAGCATTCCTACATTACCTGCCCCTCCCAGAACAGATATATGCCAGAATCATCAAGGGAGGTAATTCGGATATTTTTTCTCTCTGGTTAATAGGACAAGAGTCAGAGAGGCAAGAGGCTTGCCATTACTGACGAAATAGAATGAAAACAGTTGTGATCACAAATGTTTGGTGAGAAAATAGTCTGGATGGTTGTTCTACCTAGTGTCATTAAATACCTCTATTTTATCATTTTCACCATAAAAGTTTGTAAAAATGTAATAAATATATCTGAACTTCCACAAGTTCTTAGTTGACTTCAAAATTGACCACATGTATTAGATATTAAGACTTCTTATTCTAATTATATGCAAAAAGCGATTTAAACATACATATTTCTGTTCTGAGCAGTATTTGATGCATATACAATGTAATAATATATATAAATACATTTTCCTGCAGGAACTGTCATAGTGTAAAATGCTCCAAGGAGGACTGAGTCATAGGAGCAATACTAGACTAGCACTGTTACTGAAGGGAAAGAATTCATGATACAGCTAATGACAGCTTTCATTTCGTTTGTTCTGAACAGAGAACAAATAGGAACAAGAGGCCCAGAGGGCCTGTATCGCTCACCTGGAAATATTAGCAAAATTGAAGTGATAATAGCCAGATGTTACTGGAAGTGTACATGTATTACATGGTTAGTCAGGAGCTATTCCTCTATATCCCTTATTGGGCCACGCCTCTCTGCCCAAAGGGGGGAGAGACCCACAGTTTATACAAAATTGGTTACCCCTACACCCAAGGGTGCTTCATCAATTTTTTTTAATAAAAATCCTGTCATTTCTATAGAAGGATTTTGAAGAATTTGCTATGTTTCCGCTATTGGGCCCCAACCCTCAGGCCCCAAGGGGTTCAAACCCACAATGTATACAAAACTGATTAACCTTCCGAATAGGATGCTACTGTTCAAATTTGGTCAAAATTCCTTCATTCAAACAGAAGAAGAATATTAAAGCTTTTCCTCTATATCCCCTATTGGGCCCCGCCCCTCTAGCACCAGGGGAGCCACATCCACCGTTTATACAAAATTGAGTCTCCTTGGCCAAAGGATGCTCCAGACCAAATTTAGTCAAAAGCTACTGGGCCATTTAGGACTAGTAGCGTTTTAAAGGAAAAGTTAACGGATGGACGACGGAGGCTGCAGTATGGCATAAGCTCACCATGGTCCTTCAGACCAGGTGAGCTTACAAAACGAATGTTTTAAAATTTGATATGTTTTTACTATTAAACAAAACATACATTTTTTCTCAAACTAACAAAAAAAGTTGGGGTAAACAAATTTTGTTTTCAATGACGTCATTAAATTGTGAAGTCATAATATAGTACCTGGTTCAGAGAAATGTACCTCACAAAACAAAACACAGTAGTACAGTGATGGGAAACCACACTGTTGTCGTCATAGCTATAGTCGACAACAAACATATTCACTGTGAACGAGTAAAGTTTATTGAGAGATAATATAGTTAATAATATAATAAGAAACATCACCTTTAATTTGAAACCGAGACAAGGGAGAAACCTTTAGAATGTCAAAAGATAGTTTAAATGTCACATAGCAAAGGCCCAATATAGCAGCTGTACTGTTGTATATCTACAATGATCGGATCTAGAGAAGAAAAGATGTTTCTGAATGACAGTAGAGAAGCTGTTATAACTATATACTTTATAAGGAATTCAAACACCAGAGATATACTTTAAATCTATATATATAAAATATATATACTGTTGTGTTAATTACCAAGTTGAATCAAGAGCTTAATACTGCTTCGGATGCATTTTAACTCATTCACCCCTGACATTATATAATGAACTACCCACACCTCTGAATTGGAAGGGTTTAAATGTGTCTTCAGGGGTGAATGAGTCAAACAAGGTATTTTGTCAGTTATTTTCATTTTGCCAATTCAATTTATCGTTGTATGAAGCACAAGTGCAAAAATGAGTTGTACATGAAAGTTAATTAATATTATACAAGATATTTACCAATACATGGGAACAAACTAGTTTCAGATTTTCACAAATGTATCAAAATTATCAGTAACAGCAACAAGACTGACAAAAATACAAGCATTTGATCTATTTGTATATATTAATATGTTGAAACAGAAATAAGAAGAACAAATCACAATCTTGAACAAGTACTTCTTAAAAAAGAATGTTTTTTAAACTACAGTGTAAATGGAAATTTAAAAAAACCGGCAGTAAAATAGAAATATTTTAAAATCATTTCACAAGAATTCATTATTGGTACAAATGATAGGAATTCTGGGAAGGAAATAAAGCATATTAACTACGAACGTTACATAAATATAATGTAATGCTGTTTCAGGGTTGTATATCCCTGAACTACATGCAAACCACATGTTTTGATTAATAAATCGGGTGAGATTTATAAATTTGATTTAGTTACGAGTAACCTCACATGTGAAGAGAATTTTAATGCAAACATGTACCAGTACATTGAACTTCACC